ACTGCAAAAAGCACATTGTACTCATTATTTGAAAGGGTAAACTAAGACATAAAGTGTTACATGTTAATACACAATAAATAATGACTTGCCCAAGGTCATGCAGATGGGAACAAGATGTGCTCAGATTCTTTTCCACTTTAATTGTGGCATGCTTGCTTTATACATGAGGACCAGAGTTGCATGCTTAGAGTGAAGGGGAGGTCCACCTCACAGAAATGTTCAGTGTCTTTATGTGCTTTATGTGCCTTCACTTTCTGTGAAGGGTTTGCATCGGTTGTGATATTCATAGGACTTGTCTAGTCAACTTGAATAAAGATGGTCTAAAAACTGCACTGCTTTGCACAAAGGAGGGATAAGTTAGGTAAATTACAGGACTGGAGGGCCTAAATGGTAGCCAATATAAAGTAATCTTCCCTATACAAAGGAACCGGACTTCACACGACCAAGGAAAATTGGAATTCTGATTTTCATTAAATTCATAAGACATCTGTGAGATCTCCGAGCCATTTCAAGGGCTGTGACTACGACAACCCACACAGGACAATGTAAATAAAATCCCAGGGCTGTCATATTGTTATTCTAATGACTAATAAATATTACCTTTTCTCAGCTTGTTTTCTTTTTTTCTCTTCGTTTGGTCTCCCACCTGCCTTCCCTGTCTTGTAAGATAGCCAGTGGGTAAGTCCCCCAGAGCCACCTTTCTGTTGCATGCTTGTACTCTCCCGGCGCAGCAAGCTCCTGCTCTCTGGTTGCACCTCCAGGCTCTTTAGTGTTAGCTTCTGTGCCGTAATCTTTTCTCACTAGGAGATCAGCTAGCAGAGCAGGCAGGAAGGATAGTCACTATTCGTAAGATTGTGGACTGTTTCACCAGCCAGAGAATGGAAAAAATAAAATCTGTCTTTAGTCCTATTCTTTCTCACTTGTTTGCCAGTCACAAAAAGGAAAAGCTATTGGAGGGCACACTGGGCAGTAAGCCCCCCAGAAACCTCCTTTGTGCCGGCCAACAGCAAACAAGAAGAAGATACAGTTCCTTTAAGTCTGGCTTGCTCTGTCTTGTCTTTCCTCTTACGTCACCAGCTAACGTTTGACCAGCTGGGTCCTTGTGAGGCTTTAACAATTTCAAAGTCCTGTTCTGTCACCCTGTTCCTTCCTAGACTGTCAGGTGTCAAGGATACCCGCAGGTCATCGATCTTCTCATCAAAAAGTGGAAGAAGAGAGAAATGCAGCATTTCAGCATGATCATCCATCTCAGGCAACAAACGCTGAGGAATCATGAACCCGGTAACTGCTGGCACAAGCAGGTATAAGCTGGCTACTTGCCTTTCTAAAGGAAAGTATGGAACCCCCCTGATAACAATGGATGCTTTACTGGCAACTTGAATTGGTTGGGATATTAAATACTATATACATCTATTTCTTCACTGTTTTAGCAGAACAACCAGAAAGACAAAAGTGTCTATACCCCTAAGATGTGACATACATGCAAGTGAAACATGCATATACTTAAGCTTCCTTAAAAAGTAACATGCAATTTCCTCACAATGAAAGAGGCTGACAAAAGCCACTGACCAAAAGCAGTTTGGAGCTGTTCATTTTTGTGGGGAAGGAAAAAAAATTAGGAAAATGTTAGTCAATCAGATTTAGCAGAAAACATCCAACTCAGCTTTCCATCTACCCTCCTTTCCTTTTCAGTAGTTAAAGGCCACCTGCTACCAGGGTGATACAAAAAACCAAAACTAAGAAAGAAGACATCTTCAAGTTATTTCACCTTACGCTGAGGGAAAAAAGTAATCAGAAGGTCCCACTAAAACATTATTAGAATGATTTTTAGAGTCATAAAAACGAATAAGCTAATGTCAGAGGAAAATACGGATCAGAAAATACTCTAACCCATTCCTGACCCAAAGGTCACTTTAAGAATATACTCATATATGTGATATTTGAATTAAGTTAATAAGAACCTCAGATAGGCTCTTGGTCATCCTAGTGATTGTGAATCCTGACTTAATCCAATCTGAAATTATCATCGTAACACGAGGTGTTGGAGTTGCAGAGGATGGTTCATGTCTGCACCTACAGTGCTGTGCTCATTCAATGCTTTCACTTGGTCAAGCAGGGACTCCAGTAACACCACTCCAGACTCTCAAGACCTAAGACTGATTTACACCACTATGATGTACCCTGGACAAGCAATGTATAGTCCTCCTAAAATGAATAATATGTTCAGAGTACTTTTAGGCCCACTGACACCGGTGGGATGACTTAGGGGAAACTGAAATAACTGTGTTAGACTTAGAATATACAATACAGTTTTGGCGTAAAGTACTGCCTGCACTCCAAAAGGCGTCCCAAGGGTATGGCTATATTGGGTGAGCCATCAGTCAGGCCTTGATTTTTGGCGTGGACACCACTGGCCACGCTAGGTCAGAATTAGACCCAGAATATCACTGATCTAGATTTTGGTGATGAAGCTTATGTGGGAAAATCACAGGTGAAAAATAATCTTAATTCCTGTTAATCTTCACAATTTGTAAATCAAGATCACTGCCTTTTGAAAGCTAACCATAACCCTCCCCCCCCCCCCAACACGGAGAAAGAGCCTCCAGAACTTGGCTTACACACCAGGTCTTTTCTTGGTTTGCCTTATCTTCAGTCAAAGTTATAAGGATACCATTCAGGGCAAAGCTGTTAGGCAGAGAAAGAGCTAGAGAGATCTGAAGGAGAGGCAAGGAAGCAAAGTATTCTCCCTTTCTTCCTTAGGCCAAAATACTAACTGAGAGTTCAGCTTTGGAATTTAGAAGTGCTCTGCTTCACTGGTTTCTGTGGAGCCAACCTCCTCATTTAAACACAGCCCCTGGTAACAGAGCCTGGGAGAAAAACACACAACCAAAGGCAGGTCCTCTAATAGAGGACTTCATTGCTTGTGATATTTACATGTAAAATGAACCACGTCAAAAAGACTCCTGGACTAGAAGGTCTGGACTAGAGGAACCAGAGTAAAGAGTCCCTGTGCATATTAACCTAATTTTTGTGATGGCATTGTGGAGTTGCCGAGATGTAATTCTTGCATTAAGTAAAGGCTCTACTCCATAAGCATCCATCATTATTCACGCTGACTACCTTTCATTGGGTTAAAACGTATATGACAAATCGAATTAAAAGGCTGCTCTTTTAAAGACTTTAATCAATAAGAAACGCAGGGCTTCAGCTACACCTAGTGGACAAGCTCTGAGTACTGCAGCCTTTCTGCAGCCGCTCCGGCAACATGGGCTTATCTGTCATGTTAAATTACTCCTGCTCTGTTTCAATATATAAACTGTGAACTGAAACGAAGCACCTCCAAGTAAGTATCAACAATTTAAACAGCTCCTTTCAAAAATCTGTGTGATTATCTGTGCACCGCTGTCTTTCATGTAAAGCGCTTGATTAAAAGGTCAGGCAAGAGGACCCCGCCTCAAAAGGCGAGAGCTAAGAAAGAGAAAAAGAAGCCACGGGATGGGACGGCGGGCTGCCCTGCAGCGGGTCCCCATCTGCAAAGCCGGGGACGGGGCGAGACGTCCGTCAGAGGCTGCTCTTGTCCTTATAGGGCAAAGTCATACACAAGGTGACTGGTGACAGACCAGCTGTCGTCCTCCCCTGCCACCCTAGGGCACGGCTGCAATAAACCACCGCACCAGCTGACCGCGCATCCCAAAGCAAACACACACCACCTCAAAACGCTTTCAACGGCTTATTTTCACCCTGATTAAACTGAAGTGAGGGCAAGAGAAAGCACAGGTCCTGTAGTGCTTCCCGGCCACCGAAAAGAAACCCACCAGACGAGGCCGAGATCCTGGATTACAGGGGATTTAAAAAGAGAGAAGGTGGTTTTTAGAAGCAGGACTGAGCACAGGCTTCAAGTCCATGTTTTGGCTACAAGTTTCCAGCTGTGGTGGCTGACTAGGAATGGGACTGCTCCCTACTTGTCTTCCAGAAGCAAGGACACAGATTCCGTCCCCAGGAGCAGAGCAGCCGGCACACAGGACTGCAGGCTTCATGGGCTCCATCCGGCGGCAGCTTTGCTCACTTATCTCCACCAGAGCAAGTTCAGGTTTATGTTGTAAATAATGGTCTGTGAAGAAGGTTAACGCATCATGTTTTCTCGAATTCTCCACGTCAGTGTACAACATTGCGCCCCGACAGACATGACAAGAAAAACCAAGCTGTCTGTCCCCATCACTCCACAGACAGGCACCTGTTTATAGCTTGTGGGTTAGGGCTGACTGGTTTTCAGACCTATCCCCTAAAACCTTCTCAGTGATGATCATAACTAAATCTTTTTTGCCTACTACTTAGAAAGGCTTTATGTTCATCTCCATACCTGTGTTCATACCTTGCCCTTCATCCCCTTGTCAGATCACATGCTAGCCTTAGCGCAGTCTGCTGATAAACAACCCAGAAGCAACCCAAAATATAATTATATAACCCTTATAATCCTATAAGCGATCCAAAATATAACTATTTAGCTTCTGCACAAAGCAGATGCATGCAGAGGCTTGGTGTCATTTCCCATCATTGGAAAATCCCAGGAAGACATTCCTGCCTTCAAATACATACTTTACTTCATACAAAATTGATGGAGGACATAGAGCTGTACAAGGTTTGTAGCCAGAGAGAGTATCAATTATTAGCCCAAATAATGTAGCTGGAAGAAAACAGAAAAGATTTTGAGTAACAAGCCTTTAAATACTTATCCCGGCAGAGAGAGAGTGAAATCTGTGCTACTTCTGTTTGAATGGCAGCAGATAAGACATTTTACAGACTTTCAGAAACTTCACCCTCTCCTGCGCAGGGCACTAGCGCCAGCGAAGCAGGCTGCACTGGGAAACTCACAGTGCAATTGTGAGGAGGCTCTGGGTCAGAACTGCACATAAGTAGGTGCAGCTTCAGCATCTTATTGCGATGAGCGTCTGCTAAGTATTTAGTGTCCGAGCTCAAGAAATGCTATGTACTCACAGTAGTAACTTCAGCCACGGTTTTAGGAGCTTGACAATTCTGAAAGTTTCTTTTACTTTATTGCTGATAAAATAGGGAATATATTGCCAGATGAACACGCCAATAGACAGAGATGACAAAATGGCCTGGTGAAAGAAAAAGGTGAGAGAAGCGGTCAGATTTTACGAAGCCTGGTAAGCTGGAAAAACTTTTGCACATTTTTAATATGGTAAACATGTGTCTTTCAAAATCTGTTTCAGGCTTGTGATCAAATTGCCCCTCTGTCGTTTTTTAAGAGGGGGAAGGGCACAGCAGATGGAGAAGGACTGATCAGAATACCTGATCCATCTCTATTAAAAACCTGGTGTTTCAAATTTCTTTCTAAGCTGAGGCAAAGAGAGTAACAGAGAACCTACCATAACAGCAGCTCATCTGTTCAGTCACTTGATGTATCTCGTTATTGATGAAGTCACTGAGACTCAGCTTTATCTTGTGCACAAGCACAATAGTGGCACCATATTGAAATGTGTAAATATATTTTCAGAAACTATGTAAACCACCTCCTCTGTACTGACAGAATTATGCACTTAGAATACGTGAAACCCTGAGAAAATGCTGCTGCCTTGGGTTCCAAATTCCTTTGATTCCTCATCTTAGTTTTATTGCATATGCAGTGTTATCTGACAAATATATTTGCCTGACTATTTAAAAACTACTTTGTCTTATCATTTAAACAGCTCCTGTCAATGTTACTTGGTCCTTGTTCACACTGCTATCCCTATGAGTGATGATACAGAAATAGATCAGGTTAAGGTTGGTGCGTGTAGCCCAGATCCGTAACATCGGCATTTCTTATTCCTGTCTGTGGTAGCGAGTATTTTGGAGGGAATGAAGGCTTCAGAAGGATAGCTGCAGGGTCAGGGATAAGAACTGCTTTTTCTGACTTCATTTCCCTTCCCTCCATGCCCGTGCCCATCCCGGTTTTGCTGAGGTTTCTAATACAAGGGGGTATCGGTCCCTTGGGTACCAACTCACGTTAAGCCCTGCTGGGCTGCGCAGCCAGGAGGGAGCGGAGGCAGAGAGCAGGAGGAACAGGATAGGAACAGGACGGCTCCTACACCAAGGTGTTGACGCAGAAGCTACCCATGCCCTGAAGAAGTATTACAACGTGGCTCCACAGACACATGCCACAGCCTTTGGCCAAACACCAGCGACCCACGGGGCTTTGTATCCAACTTCTCTAGCAGATCTGGAGTGTGGAAAACATCTCCTAGGGGAAAAAAAAAAAAGGGGGGGGGGGAAGCAAAAAAAGAGACAAATGAAAGGAACTCTGCAAATCCAGATGTTGGAATTTTCCAATCCCCCTAGCAAGACAAGATAAGCAGGGGATAATCCTCGTTTATATAACTTTTTATTTTTTTTTAAATAAAACCTGAGACCAACAGGCATGTTTTCACAAGGTTTGCTTGCTTCTTCTCTAAACCCACGCCGAGAAATTTCGGGAGGCCCCGCACCCCCTCGGGCCGCAGCGCCGTGCCGCGCCGCGCCATGCCGCGCC